GCAGGTCCCGAGGGAAAATATATTATATTGGCCAAGGGATAATCCCAATATCCTGAACCGACTATAGGATAATATGTTTATCCCATACCAATATTGGTCATCTGGTTAACATTGTTCAATCGTGGAAATATTTTAGAATATTCATGTCAAGTTTTGTTTTCTTGGCCCGTGGGCGGATTTTCCTGTTCTCTCAAATATTCCCACATTTATTTTCCCAAATTTCTGATTGATTAAGTTGATGCTCCTTCTCTTTTTTAAACCATCAAACAGATCCCGATTGTCTGTGTTTTCTCCATTGTCGTTTACAGTCATTACGCGAACGTTACAAATTATGAACAAATATGCGAGTAGCGATTGTGACGTAGCGGGCAGATATACTATATCTGCCCGCTCGGAGCGGGACGTAAAGCTATATCTGCCCGTTGATGAAAATATAAGTTTTTACAAACCGGCTTTATGTACCTGTAACACGTCCAAGTATGGGATAAATATTTTTACGTTTGCCAAATGAGGGATGTATCGATAGACTTCTCTGTTAGGGGGATATATAATATCCAATTCGTCTAAAATCGCCTAGCAATTTGCGCTCTTGACGAAATGTCAATTTTCCGACCAGTCGTACGTCACACTGCTACATGCCAGTCCTTTGCAATTTTGTGAGACGTTTTAGTATATATTCTGGAGTATGCTCTTGAATGGATTTAATGAATGATGTTCCCGTTCGTGATATATTTTATATCTAATTTGTCTTAAATCTATGATGCAGTTTGTGCTCTGGAGGAAATGTCAATTTTCGGAGCAGTCGTACGTAACGCTGGTGGCAGCATGATATAAGTTATTTAGTGAGATATTTCAGGATACATTTTTACATTTGCCCTACCGAGGACTTGTTGATTGGTCTTTCTATTCGTGAGATATTGAGTATCTAATTTGTAATACAAGTCTGATTTACTTTGGGCTATATACGGGATGTCAATCTTCGGACCAGCTGTACATCGCACTGGTAGCAGCGACTAGTTTGATATATTGTGAGACGTTTATGTATATATTTTTACGTTTGCAAAAGGAGGGATGTATCGATTTACTTCTCTGTTAGGGAGTATATACAAGGGCCGATCATAAAGTTTCTTACCGTTGGCTCTCAATTTTATAATAAGAGGAGTTGGAAGCTCAAACTTTAACATGGGACAGGATAGATAGTTTTCTGGAAACTGTACGAGTTTCATATAAATTGGTTCATTGGTAGTGACACAGAGTCAATACATATTTTCAGTGATTGAATTAGGTGGAGCAGCGTTTTTTATAAAAAATTGTGCTAAACAGCAGTTTTGGAAATTACTAACACTAAGTAGTGTCATCTGTCAACAGACTGTAGTTTAATCATGTTTAATTAGTTTTTCTGCTAATATTCATTCTCATTCAAAATATTCAACCCCAGTTGCAATGCACTCCCTATATCTGTCCACTCGATCCCAAAAAACATGTTTAAGGCCTTCGTATGAGAGGTTTGAAACGATGTCAGTAAATTTCCAGAACCACAACTCAGCAGATATTTTATATATAACGCTGCTCCACCTAACGTTGTCATGGAAAATATGAATTGACTCTGTGTCACTTCCAATAAACCAATATATATGAAACTCTTACAGTTTCAAGCAAACTATCTATCCTGTCTCATGTTAAAGTTTGAGCTTCCAACTTCTCTTATTATAAAATTGAGAGCCAACGGTAAGAAACTTTTTGATCGGCCCTTGTAATATCTAATTCGTCTTAAATCGCTTATGCAATTTGCGCTCTTGACGAAATGTCAATTTTTCGACCAGTCGTACGTCACACTGCTACATGCCAGTCCTTCGCAATTTTGTGAGACGTTTAGTATATATTTTGGAGTATGCTCTTGAATGGATTTAATGAATTATGATGTTCCCGTTCGTGATATATTTTATATCTAATTCGTCTTAAATCTATGATGCAGTTTGTGCTCTGGAGGAAATGTCAAT